ATAAAGAAATCAGAGACAGCCAGAGAAAGAAGGAGCAGGTTGGTGGGAGAGTGGAGCTTCCTGTGGGGAAAATAAAAAGCAGATTTACTTTCTCTAGTCTGTGTAATCTGTTATTTTTTGTAAACATAAGCAGAGGTGCTGTACTACAAACCCCAAACTAATTTACAGCAATTCCAATAATAATTGTTAAAGTTGTTAACTCATTTGAAACCTGAAGTGTGAGATAGAGATGATGACCAGCAGATTTAGAGATGAGGTGAGCAGAGAGATGGAAAACAGCAGAATGTAGGTTATCATAGTTTCAAAGTAAGTACGTTTTGGTCTGCTGCATGAGGTGTTAAATAGTTGTGGAAAGCAGAGCTCAGTCTCCTCCATTATCATGCGGCAGCAGCTCCTGGAAACTGATGAGGCTCTATAAGCTGATTTAACTGACTGGTCTACTCCACCTTACATTTCTGTCACCATGGAAACCCATGTGATGAGATCGTGTATAGTGTAGCTTCAACATTGAAATTTTTGTTTCTCTCAAACAAAACCAATGACAAACCAACAATAAAACCCAAAATTAGACCAACAGTGTTTTGTTAAATATCGTTTGAATATTTAATTATGTTAAACTTTACATTAATTGATAAAGAACACTCATATAATTTAAATATTGTGTTTTTTATATAGCAACCATTCACTTGTCATCTCAAGGCACTTTACAATTCACCAGATTATACAGTCAAATTGATTCAACGTTTTCTATCTAAGGAAAACCAGTTGAATGCATCGACTCATTAACTCGAAGGCAATCCTTCACACTAAGCATGCTTGTAGCGACAGTGGAGAAGAAAAACTCCCTTTTAACAGGCGCGCGTCGGGGGGCCGGGGCAGCGGAGCTGCTTCGGCCGCGTGTCGGGGGCTGGTGCGGGCGGCGGGGGGGCGACGCGGCTGTGCTGCTCTGGCTTCGTCCGGTGGGGGAGTGGCGTGGTTCGCTCCGCTCTGGCTTTGTGCTGCCCGCGGGCTGCTGGGGGGGAGTGATTGCGCCGGGTGCGGTCTGCTCTTCTTGCGGTCGGGCGCCAGGCAGCTTTTCTGCTCTTGGGTTAATTCTATACGTGGTGTGTTGCGTTGCGCGCTGTTGGCATCGGTCTTGATGGGGTGGGGTCGCGCTTTTGGCCTGGGGGGTGTTTTGGGGGGTGTTTTGGGGGGGTTCCGCGGCGCTCGCGGCCGGTTTGTGGCGGAATGCGTGTGGGCCCTGGCTGTGGGCGGGGCCGCCTGTGTGTTTTTCCTGGGTGGTGCGGTCGCATTGGGTGTTGCGGCCTGTCGCCGGGGGTTGGTGCCGGGGCGTGTTTCGGTGATCTGTGGGGCCGGGGCGTTTCGGTCGGTGCTGTGGGGGGTAGCCGGTGTTCGGTGCTCGGCCCTACTTCAGGGTGGCCGGCTGCCGGCGGACCCTGCTTACTCATCCCCGCGGCTCCCCGGGGCGCCGGCATGGCGGTGGCTGGGGGGCTTCTTCGAGGCTGTCTCTCCTCCTCCCTTGGTGGCGGTCTGATTTCTGGGGCTGGCCCCTCCTTGGTGCCTTCGCTCTTGGGGTCCCTCGGGGCGCCTGGGGCTTTGGGTCTCCCGGCGCTGGACTCTGGGGGGTGTGCCTCTCCAGCTCTCCACAACCACTATTGAGCATTTTTTCTATGGATAAACTTTACATGCACAAGTTCACCCTCACAAACAATTACAGGTGCTAGGCTCCAGGTACTTAGAGATTCACTTCCATACAGAAACCCCACATTCATATCTTCAGGTAACACAGAGTACATGTCAGACTTAATATTATTACTTTAGCGA